TCTTCCCTCTCTCTCCCTCCTCTTCCCCCGTCCACAGAAAGATTGACAGGGCTCTTTCCACATTACCTTTATCCCTACCTACATGCACATATTACTTCAATTACCTCGACTAACCTGTACCCCGCACATTGACTCGGTACCGGTACCCCCTGTATTTAGCCTCATTATTGTTATTGTAATTTTTTTTACTATAGTTTATTTAGTAAATATTTTCTTAATTCTTCTTTTCTTAAAACCTCATTAAGGGCTTATAAGTAAGCATTTCATGGTAAGATCTACACCTGTTGTATTTGGCCCATGTGAGAAATACAATTTGATTTGATAGTCACCCAGCATTACAGTAACCTGCCTCAACCAGCAGCACAACAACAAGCTAACCAGCAGAACTGCCATCCCACTCCTATCGGAGGAAACACCACTGCTTGTCTACATTACATTATTTGTTGACAAATTACCTAGATTAACCTGTACCTCCGCACATTGACTCAGTACCGGTAGCCCCTGTATATAGCCTTGTTATTGTTATTTTACTGTGTTACTTTTTATTTTATTTTTTACTTTAGATTATTTTGTAAATATTTTCTTAACTCTATTTCTTTAACTGCATTGATGGTTAGGGGCTTGTAAGTAAGCATTTCACGGTAAGGTCTACAGCTGTTGCATTCGGCGCATGTGACAAATACAATTTGATTTGATTTGATTTATTCGTCATCATAAGGGCAACGGTGCATCAACGTCACACAAACATTTCTCTGTACTTCAAGTCATGTTGCTGCACAACCAAGGCATGGCAACTTTTCCAAATAACACACACACTAAATAGGGCCAGACTAACTGCTGTGAAAACCCAAGCAGATCCATAAGACGCCCCAGCAGTAGATGGGACTGATAAACATAGATAGATTAGAAATAGAACTCAGATTAAATCTGACTGCCCTCTGCTGGAGGGATGGGAGTCAAATGAGACACATGTAAAAACACAACACACACAACGCAATAAACCACAGAACACTCAGTGTGCACACATGTTGGACACGCACACACACACACACTTGCACAGACACACAGACATGCACAACACTCCTATTACATTCTCAAATTCTCAGCAGACTCTCTCTCTCTCTCTCCTCTCTCTCTCTCTCTCTCTCTCTCTCTCTCTCTCTCTCTCTCCTCTTCTCTCTCTCTCTCTCTCTCTCTCTCTCTCTCTCTCTCTCTCTCTCTCTCTCTCTCTCTCTCTCTCTCTCTCTCTCGCTATGATCATGCTGTTTACTCAGCTTCTTGATATGCCACTCCTGTCAGGTGGGTGGATTATCTTGGCAAAGGAGAAATGTTCACTAACAGGGATGTAAACTAATTTTTGCACAACATTTTAGAGAAATAAGCTTTTTGTTTGATGGAACATTTCTGGGATTTTTTATTTCAGCTCATGAAACATGGGACCAACACTTTACATGTTGCATTTATATATATTTTTGACACTACCGGTCAAAAGTTTGGGGTCACTTAGAAATGTCCTTGTTTTCCATGAAAACATACATGAAATGAGTTTGAATAGGAAATATAGCAAAATGAATAGGAAATGTAGTCATTGACAAGGTTAATTGTGAAGTTGTTATCCCACTGGCTACAAGGTGAATGCACAAATTTGTAAGTCGCTCTGGATAAGAGCGTCTGCTAAATGACGTAAATGTAAATGTTAGAAATAATTATTTTTAATAGAAATAATAATTGTGTCCTTCAAACTTTGCTTTTGTCAAAGAATCCTCCATTTGCCGCAATTACAGCCTTGCAGACCTTTGTCATTCTAGTTGTCAATTTGTTGAGGTAATCTGAAGAGATTTCACCCCATGCTTCCTGAAGTACCTCCCACAAGTTGGATTGATGGGCACTTCTTACGTTGTCATGACTTCGGCCGAGGCTGCCTCCCCTCCTTTTTCGGGCAGGCTTCGGCGTTCGTCGTCACCGGAGTACTAACCACTGCCGCCCCAATCATCATCACAATTGTCTTGTCTCGTTATCACACACACCTGGTTCTAATCCCCTAATTAGTCAGTGTATAAGTGTTCCCTCTGCCCCCTTGTCTTTGTGGGTGATTGTTTATTGTGAAGGTTAGTGAAGCTCGGTGGAGCTCGTGTATTTTGTTCGACGGGAGTATTTTCCAGTGTGCCTTGTATTTTCCAGTGCACCTGTTTTGTGCCCTGGAGTGTGTTTGACGCAGTTCTGCGTAAACCTGTATTTTGCGGATTAAAGAAGTTTTTTCTGTGATTTACCTTCCTGCGCCTGACTCCTTCAACACCACCACATCACATACGTAACATACGGTCAAGCTGCTCCCACAACAGCTCAATAGGGTTGAGATCCGATGACTGTGCTGGCCACTCCATTATAGACAGAATACCAGCTGACTACTTCTTCCCTAAATAGTTATTGCATAGTTTGCAGCTGTGCTTTGGGTCATTGTCCTGTTATAGGAGGAAATTGGCTCCAATCAAGCGCCATCCACAGGGTATGGCATGGCATTGCAAAATGGAGTGATAGCCTTCCTTTTTCAAGATCCTTTTTACCCTGTACAAATCTCCCACTTTACCACCACCAAAGCACCCTCAGACCATCACATTGCCTCCACCATGCTTGACAGATGGCATCAAGCACTCGTCCAGCATCTTTTCATTTGGTCTGCGTCTCACAAATGTTATTCTTTGTGATCCGAACACCTCAAATTTCGATTCGTCGGTCCATAACACTTTCTTTCCAATCTTCCTCTGTCCAGTGTCTGTGTTCTTTTTCCCATCTTAATCTTTTATTTTTATTGGCCAGTCTGAGATATGGCTTTTTCTTTGCAACTCTGCCTAGAAGGTCAACATCCCAGAGTCGCCTCTTCACTGTTGACGTTGAGACTGGTGTGTTGCGCATACTATTTAATGAAGCTGCCAGTTGAGGACCTGTGAGGCGCCTGTTTCTCAAACTCTAATGTATTTGTCCTCTTGCTCAGTTGTGCACTGGGGCCTCCCACTCTTTCTATTCTGGTTAGAGCCAGTATGCGCTGTTCTGTGAAGGGAGGAGTACACAGCGTTGTACGAGATCTTCAGTTTCTTGGCAATTTCTCGCATGGAATAGCCTTCATTTTTCAGAACAAGAATAAACTGATGAGTTTCAGAAGAAAGTTATTTGTTTCTGGCCATTTTGAGCCTGTAATCGAACACACAATTGCTGATGCTCCAGATACTCAACTAGTCTCAAGAAGGCCAGTTTTATTGCTTCTTTAATCATTTTAAATGATCAAATTGGATTAGCAAACACAATGTGCCATTAGAACACAGGACTGATGGTTGCTGATAATGGGCCTCTGTACGTCTATGTAGATATTCCATTAAAAATAAACAGTTTCCAGCTACAATAGCCATTTACAACATTAACAATGTCTACACTGTATTTCTGATCAATTTGATGTTATTTTAATGGTCAAAAACAAGGATATTTCTAGGTGACCCCAAACTTCTGAATGGTAGTGTGTATATATATATATATATATATATATATATATATATATATAAATTTTAAGGAACTCAGTTCGGCTTTAAACTTACTCTTCAAAGTTGTAATAGAAATTGGGTAGTGCATCATCAGTTCCTATTGTCATGTTAGTCATTGCATACCTTTGAGCGTTATTTATAACTTGTCAGAAATTTCCAGATCAACTAGGCTATGTCAGCAAACGTTTTTATATTTAGGTTTTGTAGCCCATAGATATTATCATTTTTTTGTCACTCAAATATTACATGAATATACATTAGACGTGGCAAAATGTATAGAATTTCAAGAAAATTAGGTTTAAAACTGCAACATTTTCTTTGCACCCCATGACAAAATGTGTAGAATTGCAGGAAATAAGCTTTAAACGTGCAAAATTCTCTCCACCAACAAGAGGGGTGTGAACAGTTTGTTTCATGAACAGTACTTGTGCCCATAGAAATAAACGTGGCGCGTGTGCGCACGCAGGGGGGGCCTTGGATGTTCCCCAATGCTGGAAGGGGGGCCCCAAGTGCAACAGTTTGGGAACCTCTGCTCTACAGTACCTAGCCCCAGCTTCATCCCAACCCCCTTCCCCTACACTCTTACAAAAAAAGGTGCTGTCTAGAACCTAAAACGTTTATCCGGCTGTCCCCATAGGAGAACCCTTTGAAGAAACCTTACTGGTTCCAGGTAGAACCATTTTGGGTTCCATGTAGAGCCCTTTCCACAAAGGGTTCTACTTGGAACACAAAAGGGTTCTACCTTGAACCAAAAAGGGTTTTTACCTGGAACCAAAAAGAGGTTCAAAGAACCCTTTTTTATAAGAGTGTAGGTCTAGTTGCAGCCCTAACTCCATCAGTCTACACTCCGGGCACAGCCCTATCCCCAGTTCCAGTTCCATAACATACCAACGTCCTCAGCCTCAGCCCCAGCCCCAGCCCCAGCCCCAGCCCCAGCCCCAGCCTCAGCCCCAGCCCCAGCCCCAGCCCCAGCCCCAGCCCCAACACACAATTTAATTCCTAATTCAACCAAAAAACCCTACACCACAGCCCCTAACCATAGCTCCAGCCTCTCCCCTAAACCCCAGCCATTCTCAGAACGCAGCTCCAGCGAGGGAGGGGCCGCTTTACAAGAAGGCCAATGTTGACACCACATTTCCCCTAACCATAGCCCAATACCATCTCCCCTGTCCCCACCCCACAGGTCCATACCATAGCTCCTATAGCTTTAGCCCAATTCCTCTCCCAATGTCAAAGCCCAGTTCCACATACCCCAGCCCTTTCCTCTATTCTCTTCTAGGAGAGAGCTAGTCAGGGGCACTCTACAGGAAGAGCAATGTTTACGCCATACTGTTTTAATTAGACTCAGCCGGCGCTGGTATTTTCTTTACAATTTGGCCTGTGTTTGTGTTAATCCAGAATGGCCGGAGATGGCTCCACTTTCACACCATGAGGAGGAGCGGCCAGGGAATTTCTTCCTTTTCTTTTCTACTCAGACACGTCTCTGCTACAGGGAAATTAGTCATATTAGATTAAGAAAACCACTATGGGTTTGGTGATATTAAAACACTGTATCCTGGCAGCCATATTGGAAGAAGAGGAGTAGAGAAGAGGAGAACACACCACAACACTACAACCTTCCTGTTTAGGCAAGTCACTTCATGTCCCTGGTCTCATCAATGTAAACACAGCTTGATTTACCTCTACTACGTATAAAGTCAGCGCCCTAAATCTTAATTTAATCTATAAACAAATGTATCTATGCATTTGCTGCCAAGTCAAGAGATCAACCTGTTTGCCACAAAGAGAACCAAAGCTGGAAAAAAGAGCACCAAATATTTTTGCCTGTTGGATGAAACAGTCACTTCATTCTACTCCTTCTACTTTTAACTTTTTGATTCAACTGTACATCCCTCAATATGACTGATAAACACAACTTCATGTGTCTAAGTGAGAGTGCAGTCTAAGTGTTTATGTATACTGAGCAAATGATTTTGTGAATGCTGCTGAATGTGATTCTCTTTGAATAAGACGAGCTGCAGTACTAAACTACTGACCTACCAGGATGAACACTAAACATAGCAGGTGATGAAATACAGCATGAGATCACCCATGCAACTTCACTCCATTTCAATGAGAGATCTGCTATGGTGTGTGTGTGTCCTAATAGCCAGAGCTCAACGGTAGGGTCATGGAGAGGTCGCATGCAGAGGAACGGGTCCAAATGAAACATAAAAAAGACGACCTCTCTCCTCCTCTTCCTCCCCTCTTCTCATACCTTCTTCTCTTTCCGTCTCTGCTCTCCTCCTCTCCTGTATCCTCCTCTGCTCTTCTCCTCTCATCCCAATCTCCTCCTTTCTCCTCCCTTCCTCTCTTCCTCTTCACGTTGGGCAACAGTTCCCGCTGTGCTGGGCCGAGCCTAGAGCAGCCCTCCACTGTCCAGGCAGTACTAATCTATCCCTCAGCTGTGCAGTCTAATCTAAACAAACACATTTCTCCCGACTAGCATCTGGTACCCCTCACGTCCCTAGACCTGGGAACAGTGTGTGTGTGCGCATGTGCGTGTATGCGTGTGTGTTCTCATGCGCTTGTGTGTGTACATGCAAACCACAGCCATCAGTCATCCCAATAAATGTGGCTAAACTATTTACAGTAGATGACCCTGGGTTCTGACATCTTGACACAACAAGACAATAACACGGTGTAGGGAAAAAGTAACGGTTGAAAAGCATATGCTGTAGTGGACGTGTAGATGTGTACAGTGGGGGAAAAAGTATTTAGTCAGCCACCAATTGTGCAAGTTCTCCCACTTAAAAAGATGAGAGAGGTCTGTAGTTTTCATCATAGGTACACGTCAACTATGACAGACAAAATGAGGAAAAAAAATCCAGAAAATCACATTGTAGGATTTTTTATGAATTTATTTGCAAATTATGGTGGAAAATAAGTATTTGGTCACCTACAAACAAGCAAGATTTCTGGCTCTCACAGACCTGTAACTTCTTCTTTAAGAGGCTCCTCTGTCCTCCACGCGTTACCTGTATTAATGGCACCTGTTTGAACTTGTTATCAGTATAAAAGACACCTGTCCACAACCTCAAACAGTCACACTCCAAACTCCACTATGGCCAAGACCAAAGAGCTGTCAAAGGACACCAGAAACAAAATTGTAGACCTGCACCAGGCTGGGAAGACTGAATCTGCAATAGGTAAGCAGCTTGGTTTGAAGAAATCAACTGTGAGAGCAATTATTAGGAAATGGAAGACATACAAGACCACTGATAATCTCCCTCGATCTGGGGCTCCATGCAAGATCTCACCCCGTGGGGTCAAAATGATCACAAGAACGGTGAGCAAAAATCCCAGAACCACACGGGGGGACCTAGTGAATGACCTGCAGAGAGCTGGGACCAAAGTAACAAAGCCTACCATCAGTAACACACTACGCTGCCAGGGACTCAAATCCTGCAGTGCCAGATGTGTCCCCCTGCTTAAGCCAGTACATGTCCAGGCCCGTCTGAAGTATGATAGAGTGCATTTGGATGATCCAGAAGAGGATTGAGAGAATGTCATATGGTCAGATGAAACCAAAATATAACTTTTTGGTAAAAACTCAACTCGTCGTGTTTGGAGGACAAAGAATGCTGAGTTGCATCCAAAGAACACCATACCTACTGTGAAGCATGGGGGTGGAAACATCATGCTTTGGGGCTGTTTTTCTGCAAAGGGACCAGGACGACTGATCCGTGTAAAATGAATGAATGGGGCCATGTATCGTGAGATTTTGAGTGAAAACCTCCTTCCCATCAGCAAGGGCATTGAAGATGAAACGTGGCTGGGTCTTTCAGCATGACAATGATCCCAAACACACCGCCCGGGCAACGAAGGAGTGGCTTCGTAAGAAGCATTTCAAGGTCCTGGAGTGGCCTAGCCAGTCTCCAGATCTCAACCCCATAGAAAATCTTTGGAGGGAGTTGAAAGTCCGTGTTGCCCAGCGACAGCCCCAAAACATCACTGCTCTAGAGGAGATCTGCATGGAGGAATGGGCCAAAATACCAGCAACAGTGTGTGAAAACCTTGTGAAGACTTACAGAAAACGTTTGACCTGTGTCATTGCCAACAAAGGGTATATAACAAAGTATTGAGAAACTTTTGTTATTGACCAAATACTTATTTTCCACCATAATTTGCAAATAAATTCATTAAAAATCCTACAATGTGATTTTCTGGATTTTTTTTTCTCATTTTGTCTGTCATAGATGACGTGTACCTATGATGAAAATTACAGGCCTCTCACATCTTTTTAAGTGGGAGAACTTGCACAATTGGTGGCTGACTAAATACTTTTTTTCCCCACTGTATATCCACAGGTACACCTCCAATTCACTCAAATGATGTCAATTAGCCATTCAGAAACTTCTAAAGCCATGAAATCCTTTTCTGGAATTTTCCAAGCTGTTTAAAGGCACAGTCAACTTAGTCTATGTAAACTTCTGACCCACTGGAATTGTGATACTGTGAATTATAAGTGAAATAATTTGTCTGTAAACAATTGTAGTTGACCATCTGCCAGCCAGCCTCAGCTGACAGGCTTGTGTGTGAAGCACCATGGAGCTGAGCAACATTAAGATAGGTCCAGAAAACAAGAAAACACTTTATGTTGTTGTGCTTTATTAACACTCCCTTACTGTAACTCCATCAGCTAAGTTCACAATAAACAGGGCTTGGGAGGTATACCATATACAGTTGAAGTCGGAAGTTTACATACACCTTAGCCAAATACATTTAAACTCAGTTTTTCACAATTCCTGACATTTAATCCTAGTAAAAATTCCCTGTTTTAGGTTAGTTAGGATCACCACTTTATTTTAAGAATGTGAAATGTCAGAATAATAGTAGAGAGAATGATTTATTTCAGCTTTTATTTCTTTCATCACATTCCCAGTGGGTCAGAAGTTTACATACACTCAATTAGTATTTGGTAGCATTGCCTTTAAATTGTTTAACTTGGGTCAAACATTTTGGGTAGCCTTCCACAAGCTTCCCACAATAAGCTGGGTGAATTTTGGCCCATTCCTCCTGACAGAGCTGGTGTAACTGAGTCAGGTTTGTAGGCCTCCTTGCTCGCACACGCTTTTTCAGTTCTGCCCACAGATTTTCTATAGGATTGAGGTCAGGGCTTTGTGATGGCCACTCCAATACCTTGACTTTGTTGTCCTTAAGCCATTTTGCCACAACTTTGGAAGTATGCTTGGGGTCATTGTCCATTTGGAAGATCCATTTACGACCAAGCTTTAACTTCCTGACTGATGTCTTGAGATGTTGCTTCAATATATCCACATAATTTTCCTTCCTCGTGATGCCATCTATTTTGTGAAGTGCACCAGTCCCTCCTACAGCAAAGCAGCCCAACAGCATAATGCTGCCACCCCCGTGCTTCACGTTTGGGATGGTGTTCTTCGGCTTGCAAGCAGACCCCTTTTTCCTCCAAACATAATGATGGTCATTATGTCCAAACATTCTGTTTTTGTTTCATCAGACCAGAGGTAATCTCTCCAAAAAGTATGATCTTTGTCCCCATGTGCAGTTGCAAACCGTAGTCTGGCTTTTTTATGGCGGTTTTGGAGCAGTGGCTTCTTCCTTGCTGAGTTGCCTTTCAGGTTATGTCGATATAGGACTCGTTTTACTGTGGATATAGATACTTTTGTACCTGTTTCCTCCGGCATCTTCACAAGGTCATTTGCTGTTGTTCTGGGATTGATTTGCACTTTTCGCACCAAAGTATGTTCATCTCTAGGAGACAGAACGAGTCTCCTTCCTGAGCGGTATGACGGCTGCGTGGTCCCATGGTGTTTATACTTGCATACTATTGTTTGTACAGATGAACGCGGTACCTTCAGACCTTTGGAAATTGCTCCCAAGGATGAACCAGACTTGTTGAGGTCTACAATTTTTTTCTGAGGTCTTGGCTGATTTTTTTTGATTTTCCCATGATGTTAAGCAAAGAGGCACTGAGTTTGAAGGTAGGCCTTGAAATACATCCACAGGTACACCTCCAATTGACTCAAATGATGTTAATTAGACTATCAGAAGCTTCTAAAGCCATGACATCATTTTCTGGAATTGTTCAAGCTGTTTAAAGGCACAGTCAACTTAGTGTAAGTAAACTTCTGACCCACTGGAATTGTGATACAGTGAATTATAAATGAAATAATCTGTCTGTAAACAATTGTTGGAAAAATGACTTGTGTCATGCACAAAGTAGATGTCCTAACCGACTTGCCAAAACGATAGTTTATTAACAAGAAATGTGAGGAGTGGTTGAAAAACGAGTTTTAATGACTTCAACCTAAGTGTATGTAAACTTCCGATTTCAACTGTATACCGTATACTGGGGTCTTTGGAAATAGCCACGGGATGGTTTTTCAATACCGTCAATACCATTGAAACAATTTATTTTATTTTATTTAAGAAGCCCTCCTGTTCTCCACTCATTACCTGTATTAACTGCACCTGTTTGAACTCGTTACCTGTATAAAAGACACCTGTCCACACACTCAAACAGACTCCAACCTCTCCACAATGGCCAAGACCAGAGAGCTGTGTAAGGACATCAGGGATAAAATTGTAGACCTGCATAAAGCTGGGATGGGCTACAGGACAATAGGCAAGCAGCTTGGTGAGAAGGCAACAACTGTTGGCGCAATTATTAGAAAATGGAAGAAGTTCAAGATGATGGTCAATCAACCTCGGTCTGGGGCTCCATGCAAGATCTCACCTCGTGGGGCATCAATGATCATGAGGAAGGTGAGGGATCAACCCAGAACTTTGGCAGTGTATCAAATTGTTCTCCCCACTGTATATGTATAACTTTATGAGCTGGATTGCCTGTCTTTGCCATTCATTTATTTTCGTTTGCACTAGTTAGCATATTTAGCTAGCAGCCTCCACAGAAATTCGCTATTACTTGTGCTAATTTTGTTAGCATTCTGGTAATAGACGCCCAATGGGGGTTTTTGATTATTCTTGGGCGCCCCCTTGTGTACTAAACCGGTAATACAGTAAATCCCGGGATGAGAGAAGGACGGCATGACATATGAAAATCCGGATACCGCCCAACCCTACAGTAAACTATAGAGTAGCCATTGGATAGTGAGCAAAGGAAAGGCCTTTGGACATTGACATTAAAGGGATTAATTAGACAATCTGTTGTTGACTAAATCCACATGCTTTAAAATAATATTGCATATTATTACACAGTAATAACCTATTACTGTTTCAAATAAAGACACTTCTGAAATATATTATGTAAATAACCATGGACTAATGGCAATAACATTTCAATCATAAATCCAAATTATGATCTCTTTCAAACTGCTCACATTTCAAAACAAAGTCAATTGATGACCCATACCTGACTCAAATATAGGCTACCACCTTCTAAACTACTGGAATGCAGATCAAAGGACGAAAAAACGCTGCCCCTCCCCCTTTCCCCAAAATCACCCCCCATACTCAAAGACCCCCTTTCAAACTCAAATACACTTATTCTACATAACGGATTTCGTAAAAGAATAGCATAACCCTGAGTTTCAGATGATCTACTTTTGTAAACATGCGTTTCTGTCCACAATTTTAGCCGGAGACAAATCTTTCTTGGAAAGTTGAGAGCTGTCCAAAACGGGACCACACACAGTCTCCGAGCTGTGCGTGGATCACATTCAACTGCTGGGGGCAGGCAGACACACACACACTCACACACTCACAAAATGGCGGCATTGACAAAATTTCCTCTTTCCAAAACTTCTCATGAATTTCATAATAACTTTCCTTTTAACGTAAAGAAAAATGTTGAGCTACTCCGTGCACTTTCTTTGCGCATCTACACTCAACAACAACGAATCCAAAGCAACAAAAACCATAACATGAAACGAAATACAAATATTTTCAAGTTTAGACCTGGCTCCTTGCCAAACTGCTATACAATAAACACCCCCCCCCCCCCCGGCTTGTTTGGAAGACCCCCTACCCCTCTCCACCCCACCCTACCCTTCCCAGATTTGAGTTTATTCTCAACAGGAAAGACAAGCGATTCAACGTGAAAAATTATAAATTATTTTCTTACCTTCTACCCAGAGTTTCTCCACGTCGGTTTCCAGATTAGCTGCCCGTAAGCCAACAGCGAAAGCTCCGAATATCAAGAGGCCCACAACCAAAAACTTTCCACAGTTCTTTTGTATGTAACAGCCCAACTTAAACAAGAGTCTCTGAAACTTCGCTCTCAGCCACAGCGGTGCTTTTCTTCCAGTTGCTTTGCCCTGCGACAAGAGAAAGGCCGCATATTACTCCCTAAACAAGTGCTGGGAGCGTCAAATATTTATCATCGTTGATTAATTGAATGTAGTGTTATGTGGAGAGGACATCACGGTTATCATAGAATAAAATACATGTTAATGAATGTGTTATTACATTGGTATGATAAGAGCAATGATGGGGATATGTTAATGTAGGCTACCCTATACTGTGCACGTGAAGTGTGTTCAATATGGTACATCAATGTTTACTGTTCTGAATAAGAACCTCGGAGTAGACCTGTTATTCTGGCCAAAAATGGCAGTGGTTGGACCTCCTACGTCGAGAGAGGAAAGAGATAGTTCGCGAGCCAGCGACGTAAGCACCGGTTTTGGACGACAGGACTATAGTCCGTTACTTTGTTGTTTTTACCACACACACACCGGCAAGAGGGGAAAGCGCAGCATGGCTTGCAGTCAGTCAGTGACACATTGTAACACAGCGCAAGCCTTGTTGCGATACATTGTATCGAATGATGCTATTAATCCCCCAAAATGTTCACGTGAGTTTTTACGCTGCTGCAAAATCACACACCACACAATTCCATTCCTGTAGAGCTGCGTGTGTGATCTGCGTTGGGGGAGTGGAGTAGCCATCACGGAGGGAGTTAGGATACGATAACATTTGTGAACGGAAGAGGGTAGCCACATGGATTTTTGCTTTAGAGAAGAGAACGACTCCCCAGTAAAGATAACATCGTACAGACGTCTGGGCAGTTAAAATCGTGTTCGATCAAGTGCGAAAACACATAAGCCTAAACTGTTATGCACATTTTAATTGTGCAAAAGTAGGAAATAGCCTACACTGTGTAGCCTAGTTGCGCGACTGTTATTGAAACATTGTAGCCTAGTGTAGCCTATATCATGTGTAGCCTATATTTTAAAAAATGGATCAGGAATGGTCTAAACGCGAGAAAAGTTAACTATTATTGAATAGCAAATCACAAAATAGATTACACCGCATAGCTCTACATCCCAAACCCTCTCCCCTGCTCGTCCCCTATCCCGTTACCTAGCGACTTGACATTGTTGGGCAGTTTCATTATAGTAGAACCATACCAATATCATTTCACTCAAACATGTCAAATAATAAGCACCTCGGATATTTGCTGCAAGGCGAAAGCTGCATCGCAGTAACTTGGCCGCTGCAAATACTCCAAATCCGGCGCTGTTGAGCGATAGTTCCCCCTGTTCCTCCGCGTTATCCTCGGCCGATCGGGGTCCCTGTTTTCCTGCTCAGAGGAGGCATTAGCAGCCGAGGCCATGTTGCGGAGACTTCGCGCTGGTTCTGCTTTTCCACGTTATAATATTTCCCCGAAAGCGTGTAGTAATGTCCCAAGGCAACACAGTTTCACTCTCGGTGATCTCACACCCGTAAAGTACTTCATACTGCTGCTGGAGACGGCGAGTCAAAGTCTGCGCCTTCCATCCCAACATTTCGTGATCCAGAGGTCTCCACCGCTTTGCACATTCAGCGTTTCTCTTTCAAAAAAGTTATTTATCTTAAACGGCAAAGTGGAAAAAGTCGTTCCCATCTACAAAACGGCGGCTTGGAACGTTCGATGGTCGTAGCATTCTGTGTGTTCTATGTGTTCTTCCCTTAGGCCGCGCGACACGGCGAACTCTGAGATTCAATAGAGGAGAAAAAAGACCTCTCTCCATTTGGAGACAGAGGAGGAGGGGTAAAAGCGAAAATAATCGAAATCCCGCCTCTAGGGCTGTCAGATGGACGGATTTTCTCGCATCTGATTGGTTCCAGAAGGGCAAAAATTACTCAGCAAACACTACTATTATTAGCTGCTTAGCAACAGCTCACTAAAGTAGAGCGACCACCCAAGCCGGGAACCCTCGTGTGTGCGTCTCAACCTTCAGGGGAGCATTTCAGAAAGCCAGCCCTCTTGTACGTTTGCGCGCAACCAAGACTGGAGTTTCTGGTTTTCCACAAGGAACTGTATTTATTTAAACAGCATTTCTTGAAGAAAACACACTTCGTTTGTTGGAGATGGCTCAACGAATATCAGAACTGCAGTTTTGAACTTTTTTTTAACCAACAGGGCCTGATCTGGAAGTAGCTTGGCCTCAAATTACAGCGTTTCTGGGGAAGGTTCCAAATATTAGTCCGTCTCAATGTTCTAATGACAGTAAAGTGGATAACAGACATCATAATAGGGTGAATATGACAACCCTTCATCTAAAACAAATTAAGAAACATCAAATACTTAATACTATGTTGTATTTATTCTGGATCCACATTAGCTCTTGCCAAGGCAGCGGCTACTCTTCCTGGGGTCCAATCACAATTACACACAATAAAACAAAACATAACACAACACATTAGTACACACTACTCTACCATAACATATCTACAATACAAAATCAATAATACAGCAAAATAACAATATTAAAATGTATGTGTGTAAAGAGTACATGTGTTAGCGTGTGTTTGCGAATACTGTGTGTGTGCCTGTGTGTGTGTGTGTTTTCACAGTCCGCGCTGTTACATAAGGTGTAGTTTTACCTGTTTTTTATTTATTTATCAGATTTTACTGCTTGACTGAGTTACATGGGGAATATAGTTCCATGTAATAGGGCTCTATGTACACTGAACAAAAATATAAACTCTACATGTAAAGTGTTGGTCCCATGTTTCATTAAATAAAAGATGCCAAAAATGTTCCATACGCACAAAAATATTATTTCTCTAAAATGTTCTGCACACATTTGTTTACATCCCTGATAGTGAGTATTTGTCCTTTGCCAAGATAATCCATCCACCTGACAAGTGTGGCATATCAAGAATCGGATTAAACTGCATGATCATTACACAGCTGCACCTTGTGCTGGGGACAATAAAAGGCCACTCTAAAATGTGCAGTTTTGTCACACAACGACACAAGTTTTGAGGGAGCGTGCAATTGGCATGCTGACTGCAGGAATGTCCACCAGACCTGTTGCTAGAGACTTTAATGTAAACGTATCTACGATAAGCCGCCTCCAACATAATTTTAGAGAATTTGGCAGTACGTCCAACCGCCCTCACAACCGCAGACCATGTGTATGGCATTGTGTGGGCGAGCGGTTTGCTGATGTCAACGTTGTGAACAGAGTGCCCCATGGTGGCGCTGGGGTTATGGTATGGGCAGGTGTTACGAACCCCGTGGCTTTAAACGTCTAGGGTGATGGACATGAGACCCGTAACATAATTCATGCAAATTATAAGTGTGACATGGAACAGTGAGAACGAAAAACTACACGACAACCATAAACTACCGTCAAACATAAAAGGTTTATTGCTGAACACACGGTAAAGGTTTGGGAAAAAGGGCTGAGCAGGACCCAAGAAATGAAACAATAGTGTAAAACACCCCTAAACTGATCTTGCCTGCCTCAAGAACCGCTAAGCTACTGCTAGTCATACAAAAGTACAGTGGGTGGTCCGCTCAGGTCTAACTAGTGTTTTTAGACAGATTTCTTCCTACGGGTAATGTACGCCCAAGGGCAACTTGCTTAAACGCCCCTTTTCCCAGAAACACACAAAGTTACCAAACAGAGTAATCAGCAAATTAGTGAGTACACAATACACAGGATACCACAGTATCCATACTCACATACGGAAATAGTCTCTAACAAAATTACCAAACAGAGTAATCAGCAAATTAGTGAGTACACAATACACAGGATACCACAGTATCCATACTCACATACGGAAACAGTCTTTCTCTCTAACAACAAACATAACTGACTGTTTTTTAAACAATGGGATGTGTGATTGAAAAACCAGCAACAGGTGGTGCCATGCAGAGGAATGTTCACTGATTGGTCCACCTTAGCAATCAGCAGACATCTCAACGACCACCAATCAGGAACATACAGGACACCTGTGATTAGGGCAGAAGGAGAGGAAAACACAGGACACAGGATACCTGTATCCGTAACACTCCCACCCTTAAAAGAGCAAACCACAATGGTTTGCGACACGTACCATCACAACACCCAAAATTCAAAAATAATCCTAGGGGATAACAAAAAAACCTAGATCATTAAACACGAGACAAAGCATCTGCCAACACATTATCCAACCCCTTTTTGTGGCGGATCTCCAAATTATAATTTTGCACGACAAGTGCCCAACGCATAAGGCGTTGGTTCTGGTTGTACATCCGGTGGAGAAAAACTAAGGGGTTATGGTCAGTATACACTATCACTGGTAATGCACTGGAACCAACATAAACTTCAAAGTACTGCAGAGCTAACAACAAAGCTAGAGCTTCTTGTTCAATGGTGGAATAGTTTGTCTGACATTTGTTAAATTTCCGTGAAAAATAACAGACAGGATGGTCCACTCCACTCTGGTCCTGCTGCAGTAGAACAGCACCAGCACCTCTGGCACTTGCATCTACCTCCAGTTTAAACGGTCGTTCAAAATCTGGCGCAGCAAGAACAGGAGTACTACATAAGAGTGCTTTAGCAGTGTTGAAAGCAGTACGACAATCTTCAGACCATACAAATTTTTTTGCCGGACTGAGCAAATCCGTTAATGGAGCAACTACCGCAGATACATTTTTACAGAAACTACGGTAGTAGCCAACCATCCCTAAAAAGCGGCGTAGCTCTCTTCTGGTGGTAGGTGCGGGAAATGCATTTATAGCTGAGACCTTAGCATCTAAAGGGCGCACCTGACCATGGCCGACCTGTTTACCGAGATAAGTAACAGTGGCCTTCCCAAACTCGCACTTTGCTAAGTTCAGGGTTAGAGAAGCGGCTGCTAGACGTTCACACACTACCCTTAGAGTGTTAACATGATCAGACCACTCAGTTGAATAAATTACCAGATCATCAAGGTAAGCACTACAATTAGGAACTCCAGCCAATACTGTGTTAACCAGGCGTTGGAAAGTGGCTGGTGCGTTCCGCATCCCAAACGCCATAACAGCATATTGTAGGAAGTGATCTGGGGTCACAAAGGCAGAGATGTCGGAGGCACGTGAGGTTAACGGCACCTGCCAGTAACCTTTTAGAAGATCTAGTTTGGTTACATAAGTAGCAGCACCAACAGTATCAATACAGTCATCCAGTCTGGGTAACGGGAACGAGTCGGGGACTGTGACAGCATTGACCTTCCGATAGTCCGTACATAATCTGGATGTCCCATCAGGTTTAGGAACCAGAATGCACGGAGAACTCCAAGGAATTGAACTTGGCATAGCCAGGTTATTCTCCAGCAAATAACCGACCTCATCCCTCATTATCTTTCTCTTAGCGACGTTGACACGATAAGCATGTTGCTTGATAGGTGCAGCGTTTCCAACATTAATGTCATGTTCTAACACATTTGTGCATGTAGGAACATCATTAAAAAGACACGGAAAGCTGTGTAATAGTCTCACAATATCCTCTGACTGTCTGTCCGTTAAATGAATCAGGCTTGACGGGAGAGACAGCAGCATCTCTGAATTGGGCAATCTAGCACACTGCTGCTGAGTATTGCGCAACTCCAAACCATCTCCGTCCACATCATTAACATGACTTCCCACTACAGCCGTAGCAGCAACAGAGACAGCCGACTCGGCCAGTTTCTCTGGACTGTCTATCTGAGTGACGGGTCTGGTGTGGTATGTCTTCAACATGTTAACGTGGCACACACGAGATTGGCGTTTTCTATCAGGAGTCTGTATCACGTAGTCAGTTTCACTTAGTTTCTTTTCAATGACATAAGGACCAGAGAAACGTGCTGACAATGACGCTCCTGGCACAGGCAACAATACAAGAACTTGGTCACCTGGCTGCAGTGAACGAGAAACAGCCTGTGTGTCATAGTGTCGTTTCATCCGTTTCTGTGAGGAAGACAGCGCTTCCTTTGCTAGAGCACAGGCACCATGTAGGCGCTCACGAAAGCGACTAACGTAGTCCAACACATTTTCTTTCACACACAACTCTTGTGACAAAAACTGATCCTTAAGGACTTTCATAGGTCCTCTCATGGTGTGTCCAAACACCAGTTCAGCTGGGCTGAACCCTAGGGATTCCTGTACTGTCTCACGGACAGCAAACAAAACTAGAGGAACTCCCTCATCCCAATCTTTCTCAGATTCCAAGCAATATTTACAGAGCATAGACTTCAGTGTCTGATGCCAACGTTCAAGCGCACCCTGAGACTCTGGGTGATATGCGCTTGACACACGGTGTGTAACTGACAAGGATTTTAACACTTGTTTGAAAAGTTTAGAAAGGAAATTCATACCCTGATCAGTTTGTATCACCTTAG